CCTCTCTCTCTGCCTGCCTCTCTGCCTACTTGTGATCTCTCTGTCAAATAAATAAATAAAATCTTTAAAAAAAAAAAAAAATTATACACCACAACCAAGTGGAATTTACCTCAGTTATGCAATCCTGCTCCTTAGTATTTACCCAAAGGAGGTCAAAACTTACATCAAAGTCAAAGCATTCCCATGTTCACAGCATCTTTATTCACAAATGCCAACCTTTAGAAGCAACTAAGATGTCCCTCAGTAGGTTAATGGAAACCATGGATCATCCAGACAAACTATGGATCAAAAGAAATGAGCTATCAAGCCATGTAATGACATGGAGAAAACTTCAATGCATATTACAAAGTGAAAGAAGACAATCTGAAAAGGCTACAAACTATATGATTCCAATTATCGGATATTCTGGAAAGGACACAACTCTGAAGGCAGTAGAAAGATCAGTGGTTGGGAAAAGTGGAGGAGTGTAGAGGATCTTTACAACAGTGAAAATACTCTGTATGATATCATAATGATGGACACTTGTCATTATCCATTTGTCCAGATCCAAACAATGTACAAAATCAAAAGTGAACTGTAATTTTAACTACGAACTTTGAGTACTTATCAAGTGTCAGTGTAGGTTCAGCAATTTCAACAAATGTACCACTCTAGTGGGGTATATAGATAACGGGAGAAGCTATGCATGTGTGGGGAAAATCATTATCTTTCCCTCATTTTTGCTATCAAGCTTAAACTACTCTAAAAAAATAGTCTTAACAACAAAAGGAAAAGCAATAAAGTTATGTTTTACTGACTTCTTTTTTTTTTTTTAAGATTTTATTTACTTGGGGCGCCTGGGTGGCTCAGTGGGTTAAAGCCTCTGCCTTTGGCTCAGGTCATGATCCCAGGGTCCTGGGATCGAGCCCGACATCGACAACATCAGCTGCTCAGTAGGGAGCCTGCTTCCCTTCCTCTCTCTCTCTGCCTGCCTCTCTGCCTACTTGGGATCTGTCAAATAAATAAAATCTTAAAAAAAAGATTTTATTTACTTGACAGAGAGAGACAGACACAGCAAGAGAGGAAACACAAGCAGGGGGAGTGGGAAAGGGAGATACAGGCTTCCTGCTAAGCAGCAAGCCCAGTGTGATTTGGGGCTTGAACCTAGAATCCTGTGATCATGACCTGAGCCAAAGGCCGACGCTTAACGACTAAGCCACCCAGATGCCCCAGTTTGACTGACTTTTATAACTAGTCTCTGGAAAACACGTTGCCCTCCCCCACTGTTTATTGGCTTCGTCTGCCACACTTTCTTATTCATGATTCCACTGTGATCTCAGCAGTATAAGGACCTTTCTGGCTTGGCTCCAGTAGTTTTTGGTATTTCAATTCCAAAATTCAAGAAGAAATAACGTGAGTGGTCTAGATATTCAGCTCTTATTCAAATATCTGGTACTACTTTGGCTGGAGAAGGTGTGTGGAATGGGAGCATATTAGGATCATAAGTTCCTTAGACCAAACCCTACTCAATGGTCTTTAGAATGATGTCCCTGTATTTTGGGGCAGCTTTTTAAAGAAATGATTATGGGCAAAGAGATCAAGTAACAGCTATTCAAACTCAAAAGGAAAGGGAAGTTTTGCTGTTTTTTCACTCCCCAGTATTTTCTTAATTTAGAATTGAATTAACATAGAAATGAATACTCACGTATGTACCTCTCGATTATATAGTTTACTATCTAATTACACTAAACATTTATTCTTACTCTAAAAAAATTCCACCAGGAGAAAGTTAAATGCAAAAAAAAATTTTTTTAAGTTACTAAATCTTTTGATGACTAGTTTCTTCATCTTAATATGGGGATAACAGTAAAGTCGCTATAAGGAATAAGTGAGAAAGCATGTATAAAGCATCTGGAGTTCTGTGAATGTTAGTAAATAGTACTTGTAATTTTTTACCACTTGAAATGTCTTCTGAACCTACAATTTCTATACATGTTTTTCTGTATTTGTGAAATTTACAAACCATATGGTATCACTAAAATCTCTACTAAACTATTCAGAATTACATTCAATCACTTCAGAAAAAAAGTTTAAAAACAAAACAAAACAACCTTCCTCAGTATTTCACAACACACAATGTGTTAAATTGTTAAAATAACAAACACTCATGAAACATATACAGTTTCAGAGTACAAAGACACTCACTGTTCCTGTACCAAGAATTGCAGATATAAAGACAAAGAGGACAAGAGCTCTCAGTCTACTGCTATGTTTACAACTAAATTGCACTGAGGAAACACTCTGCCTGAGGAAGTCTAGGAAAGTACTGGAAACACACTGGGTAAAATCTTACAGGGACCTAAAAAAGTTGATGGCAAAGTATATATATATAAAAATGAGAGAGAACAGATTTGGACAATGGTACTAGTACGGATAGAAACATCACAGGTTGGAAAAGAGTGGTGGAGTATTATGAAGCTTGCAGAGGTTGGAACCAGACTGACAAGGGAACCAGACTGACAAGGGCTTTGTAAAAAATGAAAAAGTTAAGAAATCTTGAATTATATGTGGTAGAAAAAGAGGAGTGATCAGAGATTTGTAAAAGGCAGTATTTGGAAGGATGGACTGCTGAGAGGCTGGAAGCATTATTTAAAATAATAATGACCAAAAAAGAGACATAAACTTTATAATTAAATATAGTTTCTGAACCTGGTTCAAACATTTTGGGAGTTGTGTAAGGACTGAACCCTCGTAGCCTCCATTTTCTTATCTGAAAATAGTAAATATTGCAATGTTATATATGAAGATTGAGATAATGTATGTAATGTGGCTTGTACAATGCTAAGTAACTCAGTATAATCGAAGATACATGTATCATTTACTATGTGCCACACACTAAGATTTTTTTATGTGTTGAGTCATTTGACTCTCACAATAATCCTACAAGGTAGATATTGTTATTATCCCATTAACACAGGTCAGGGATTTCAAACACAGAACGATAAAGCAGCTTGCTTGGGTCATACAACTACCAACTGGTGGAGATGAAATTCGAACTGAGGCAATCTGACTCCAGTTCCCTGCCCTTAACAGTATATTTTAATGCCTCTCTAGGAAAGATCAAGTCAGTGCTCTTAAAACTCTTGTCAGCGGGGAGTAGTTGGTTGGGCTACTGACTCTTGGTTTCTACTCAGATGGTGATCTCATGGGCTGGGAGATCAAGGCCACGATGGGCTCTGCACTGGGCATGGAGTCTGCTTGGGACTTTCTCACTTTCAAATAAATAAATCTTTATTTTCTTTTTTAAAGATTTCATTTATTTATTTGACAGACAGGGATCATAAGTAGGCAGAGAGGCAGGCAGAGAGAGAGGGAGGAAGCAGGCTCCCTGCTGAGCAGACAGCCCGATGTCGATGTAGATGTCGGGCTCGATCCCAGGACCCTGAGATCTGGGCTCAATCCCAGGATCCTGAGATCATGACCTGAGCCGAATGCAGAGGCTTTAACCCACTGAGCCACCCAGGCGCACCTAAATAAGTATTTTATTTTTAAGTGTACGAATCAGCACCTAACGAACACTTCAAGGTAATATGTACACAATAAAATTTGAAATTCGCTAATGATTTAGATAGATAGAGCAAATATAAATGAAAAAGTCCAGGTAAGGCCAAGAAACATATTAAAATGTAGGAACTAATTTTTTTTTAATTACTATTTCCTGGTAGCTCGCGTAAAATGAGAACAGCTGTCCGCAATTCTTAGGAAAGTACAGCTGACGTCTCCACTGCAATCTTACACAAATCTAGACAATCATAAATACTGAATATTTAATCCTATTTTTCCTGGCTAATAATGAAACAAAAGTTCACTAGCAGGGATGGGAGAGTAGGAGCAGCCAGTAATAGATGTGAAATGTCTACTTTTTAAAAGATATTTATACATTTTTATGGTACGATACCCTGGTGTTAAAATCTTAAAAGGAACATAAAATATCGGTTTCTATAAATCAACACAATATTAGTCTGATTGTTCAATAAGGCAAGATGTAAAATTTCTATACATTTAAACTCATTTATATTTTAGATGTAGGGTACACATTTAAACTATTCCAGAAGAAGGCAGACTTTCCTATGTGGTTAAACAGCGTTTGATATTTGAGGTAGTTCATCACCAAAAAAAAATAAAATAAAATAAAATAAAACAAACAACAACAACAAAAACCAAAACAAACAAAAAAAAATAAAGAAAATCCAATTCTGGAAACTTCAGTAGAATGCTTCCATAATAACTCCACAATAACCCTGTTGGCCAATGAATGGAGGATGTGAAAAGGCAGATCCGTGGAATTAGCTAAACCTTATCCCTATTGTTACCAAACTAAAACCTTTATGACTTACCGCTGTTACTGTAGTCAGTTTAAATGACCAAGAGCCTCGGATTTTTGTGGTACAAGAAAAATGTCGATCGTGAAAGAAAAATATCCGGGTTTTATATACAAAGGATGCTCAGATTTCAGTTTAAATCCCCACCGGGCATTTCAAAGACTGTCACTTCCCTGCGGCCCAGAGAAATAAAGACTACTCTGAGTATCCCTCTTAGGAGGCACTCGGAGCCAGGTACAGTACAGCATCTCCTCATTCTAAACCTGCCCCCAACCTTCCATCTTTAATAAAGGAAGATTCTTTTACCTGTCGTAACGCTTTCGCAATTAGATCTAACTACCGTTCAGCTTCAGCATTCGAGTCCAACTGGCGGAAATATTTACCAGAAAGATTAAACAAGGCTTAATCTCGGGGGCGGGGGACCTCGGAATCCTCAGTATGTTCCGAGTTGGCTCGTGTGCGCCGTCCTGGGAGACGCTTCCCAGCGCCCCGAATTCCAGCCTAACCCCACCACCCGACACCCCCAAAGGCACTCCGCGGCCTCCGCTTTGCTGTCCCGCCTCTCGACCCCTGTCCCATCCAACGGCCCGAATTCTGTCCCTGGAATACTCAGTTACTTCCCGTTCTCTATTCACTCACCAAGGCGCGCTGGGCAGAAGTTCCAGAACGGTCGTGTCACTTTTCCCTTCTTTCGCGGAGCCGCAAAGCCGACCGCGAGCAGCCCCATCCAACGGTCCACAAGATTCAAATTCGTCTACTTCCGCCTGCAATCCGGAAGGTGCGCTAGGCTCAGCCTCCTGTGGGGCGGAGCCCGTGGCATCGCGGGACATGGGGGTGGGTGAAGCACGCCCGGCTTTCCTATGGAGGAGTGCGATAGCTCTGTTGTGCTGCTTGCGCTTCAGTGTCTTTTGTCTGTGTTCTTACTTCACAGGTCATAGAAGAGTACCGGCGTAGAGTCGGCGTTTCTGCCCGGTGACTCTTGAGAGGATCTTCTTGTTTGTGAAATGGACAGAGACGCACTGAAGTTTAGTTCCTTCAGGGACTGGAGAGAATAAAAGCACTAATGGGGCCCTGACGTTTTTACTCCTCCCATCGCCCCCGCGTAAACAACTACAGCGAAGAGGAAAAAACAAATCCTGCGCAAACCCATTTTCCTTGGGCCGCCTCAATGCCCGTACAGTCGGGACATTTAACCTCCCCTCCCCTGTTTGAGGAAGACAAAAAGCCAACTGCACCCATCACGCTTATTCCAATCACAAATTGAAAGTAAGTGGTGGTCTAACGAGTTCCCGGTACCAAATAAAATACTTGAAGATAAGTGTTAGAAGGCGACAAATCTCCCCCCCCACCCCCCGGCCTCCGATAAGAGACTATTTTACATGATTATTACGTAGTTGTCCTGTGAGATTCTTAGGAGAACAGTGTCATTTTCCTTTACCAAGGACTGCTTCTGAAGGTGGGGGTGGGCGTCTGGGATCTGTAAGAAAGGAAAGAAAAGACTGAACATTTTTTAGCCCCAAACCCCTCTAAAAAGGAAACTAAACAACTCTGATTTTGACGTTGCCACCAGATAATCCTCACATCTAATAGTATTGATTTACCTAAACAGATCATTTCAAACCAAGCCGTGACAGAACACCTTCAGCTTCTGTCAAGACTACAATTTGGAAGATTAGATTTCTATAATTTGTTTTCCATATAATCTGACAGAAGGGAGTATAAAGCTATTAACGGGTGTACTGCGTTTAACTGTGGAAAATAGGAAATAATGTGTTTATCAATAAGGAAATGATTAAATAAGTTATGATACTTTAGGATCTGATACACTCGACACTGTACAGGAACTAAACATAAAGATGTAGGTCAGTAGGTACTCAAATGAAATATTTAAAAAAAAACTGTAGAAGGACTATATATTGTATCATTTAAAAATATGTGTATGTGCATGGCATACAAAGTTTCCAGATGGACAGTAGACTGTAAAAAGTTACCTCTGGTAGATTGGTGAATGGAGATGTGAAGAGACTTTTTATCTTCTGCTTTATAACCAGTTGAATTTTTAAAATAAAAACATGCTTTATTCTTGCAATTTCAATTGTTTTTTAAAAGAAATTGTTAGAAACTGTATGTTCTAGATACAGAATCAGACTTGATAAATGTATAAAAGTATAATGTTTGAATAGTCTGTCTCCATTCATTCATACATTCATTCAATAATTATATGGTAATGGTTTGACCACACATTTTATCATCCATGATATGTTGTATTATTTAATGTCATTATTTAATGTATTATTTAATGTATTTAATATGGCCACATTACATACATTGCTCCTTCAAGCTCTTTGAAGGCAGAAATGATGTCATATTTTCATATGTCTCTCATAATTCTTGGCAACTTCCCACCATTAAATTTCATCCTTCGCAGGAATTAAATTCTCAAGTTAATCTGAAAGCAAAGTTAAATATTCAAATTGCCCTTGAAAAGCCCCCAAGACAATCATAAAATATAAAAAATATGATTTTTTTATATAACTGTATAGACATAAGTTTTGTTTTAACTTATTTTAACTGTTAACTTTTGTTTTAGTGTTTTCCTCTGAGTTTTCCTTACTCAGTTCTTCTTTTTGGACTCTAAATAAATTCAATTTCTTCCACCAAGATGTTGACAAAGTTATCACTAGCAGCCTGCCATCAGTCAAACCAATGATATTAATTTTTCATCCACAATGGAAGGTCCCTTAAAGTCACTGACATATTTTTTTCGCAGAGGACTAGCCAGGCTTTATTGTATAAATTGTCTAGGGCTTGTGTTTATTATTTACTATCTAGTAAGACACATTGCCTACTACCAGCTTCTGCTACTCTTCTTTCTTGTTATTATTGAGTGGAATATCAGGTGATTTGCACTTTTTAAACTGTTACTCCCCTACCAAGAGTGTATATAGATGATTTTTTAATACAATCAGTATTCAAGTAATGCTATAGCATTTCATTAACAAAGAGGACCTGCAATAAATACCCACTGACTAAATCAAAGAGCCTAAGTAATTAGACTTAAGAACATTTTAAAGAAAATATTCAGGGGCACCTTAGTGGCTCAGTGGGTTAAGCCTCTGCCTTCAGCTAAGGTCATGGTCTCAGGGTCCTGGAATCAAGTCCTGCATTGGGCTCTCTGCTTGGCAGAGAGCATATTTCCCCCTCTCTCTCTGCCTGCCTACTTGTGATCTCTCTATCTCTGTCAAATAAATAAATAAAATCTTTTAAAAATATACATTAAAAAAAAAAGAAAATATTCACTACAGGATATATTTAAATCTAACAAATCAGGCCATCAAGCTGTGCATTCACATACTTAATAAATTTTTAAAATTAAGTAAAATACATTGATATGAGTATTCCTCTTACTAAAAGCTACAAAAACTGAAGAAAAAAAAACCACAAAAGTGTCTTATTTAGTTTCCAATAACCCCTCAGTATTCTGAATTAACTGAGAACTGCCCCATAGAAAATTTGAATCATATCTAATATAACCTTCTCTCTTCCCTGCTATCCTCCTCCTGCTAACACTATATGTTGCAGAAAACAAGACAAAAACACTTCTGGGACCAATGGTCATCAGTTCACACACAAGAGCCAACACAAAGTGCTTTGGCAGAAGAGCTCCTAGAACTTACTTTGAAAGGTTCTTATCACAAGCAACATGACTGACAAGAACAATAAAATGCCTAGAAATAAATTTTTTTAAAGTACAGGATATGTAAAAAATCTGAGAATATAAATGATTTCAATATTTACAAATGGAAGATGAATATTTAAGAATGGTTTAGAGAAGAAGAGTAGCAGAAGCTGGTAGTAGGCAATGTGTCTTACTAGATAGTAAAACTTAACACAAAGCTATTATGATCAAGGAGTTGTAATGGAAAAAATTATTAGCATAAAAAGATAAATACATAGAGAATGCAGAAAAATTCGACTGTACTTGGAATATTAATATAAGGGTGGCATTTCAATTTAGTGAGCAAGGAACATTTTCATTCATTAATTGGTAAGAGAAGGCTATCTATCTGGAAGATAAAAAGTTAGGCGTCTACCTGGCACCATATGGCAGATAAATTCTATAAGAATTATAGGTTGAAATATAAAAAATATAGCAAAAGTGTATTGGGAGAAAAATTAGAAGAATAACTGTGACTTTAGGTAAAAGATTTCTTAAGGAAGGAAGGAAACTTAAAAGCCATAAAATAGAAGATGCATAAGCCATGCCAACACTTCAGAATAAAAATTATTTTGAGCTGAAGGCAACTGAGAAACAAACACAGGAAGAACTCTACCTTCCCCCATCTAATAAAAGCAGGGCATAAATTTCCCTTTGTGAAGATGTTCCTTTCTTCTCTAGTACCCAAAGGAGGAGAACATCCCTTAGCACTGGAGATGGAGTTGGCACTGGCATAAAAAAGTCTTACTAAATAACATTTATCTACTGTTAGTTTCCCCCATTCCTACAATTTACCACTCCTGGAAACCCAAACTCCTCTTCCTTTGTCTAGTCATTTCACAATTTATTCTCCTTCATTAAAATAGCATAGAGGCTCTCAAGCCTAATCACTTCTTTGAGTTTTTACTTTTTTCTGTGGACCCCTGTGCATGTAAAATTAAAAAGAAAATTTTACAGCTTTCTTCCTGTTAGTCTGTCTTTGCCAGTTTGGTTTGCAGAACTCCAAGTTCTACCAAGAAGGTAGAGGAAAAATCTTTCCTCTCCTGCAAATACACATGGCTATGTTAAAGCTTAAAGTATTTTGTTGGCAAGATTCACCATCAAACCTCAAAAGATAAATGAAAGAGTTGTGATAACATTTAAAATACATATGATTTAAGGTTAACAACTGTACTGTAAACAATTTTTATAATTTGATTTTTTCAAAAAGTAATAAAAATGAGCAAAATAAGGGGCACCTGTGTGGCTCAGTGGGTTACGCTCACATCATGATCCCAAGGTCCTGGGATGGAGCCCGAGATGGCCTCTCTGCTCAGCGGGGGGCCTGCTTCCCCCATCGCCCACCTGCCTACTTGTTATCTCTCTCTCTCTGTCAAATAAATAAATAAAATCTTTTAAAAATTAAAAAAAAAATTTTTAATGAGCAAAATAAGTGATCAAGCAAAGAGAAAATGAGAAAGGACAATAAACAAGAAAATACTCAAACTTACTACCACACAACCAAGAACCAATTTTCCTTTCTTGGAGTGGCAAAAATTGAAACAAGTCATAACCTCTAATACTGGGGGGGTATGGTGGTAAAATGCACATGCTTGTCTACTGGGTGCATGCATTACTACAACTCTTTGAAAAATAACTCTTTGACCAAATTTTCTCACCTTTGGGATTCTCCTATAGGAATATGCATGATAGTGTGTTTTGAGGCACTCCTAATTAGAAACAACCATCCATCAAGAGGGAGGTGATTGAGAGTTAGGGTACATCTATACTATCAAAAGACTTCACAAAACTGTATTGCTTTGTCTCCTAAACTATTGCCTCCAAAGTTAGGGCTATTGAACCCCCAAAGACATATAAGTGAAAATAAAGAATGGCATTACTGAATTAGAAAAGTAATAATATTCTGCTCTACAGTAATACTGATAAACCTGGCCCTGCAAAATGGCAT